AATCTTGACGTACTAAGATTAATCGTGGTTCCCGATTCCAACTGACCCAACGTACCGAGGTTGGTTGTGGTTATTTTATTTGTTTCCAACTAGCCCGACGTATTGTGGTTGGTTGTGGTTATTTGTTTTGGTTCCAGTTACCCAACGCACTGTGGTAACTGTGGTTTCGAATATTTGAATACCCGACGTATTGTGGTGTTTATTCTCCAAGACTCCATTTATAAGAAGGATAAAACGAATCACTAACCTACGAGCCTAAGCCACCGACCAAATATAAACGCCCTCTTTCGATAAGCCATTCGTAGGTTGTAAGGTGTTTTCCATAGCCGAGCGACTGACTCGCCGTATAAATCCCATTGTTTCATTATCTAAAGGATAAAAATAATCAATCCGATTTACAAGATCGCAAGAATCGTACATATCGGCCATATCGGACTTGGTACTACATCGGAAGGTAGTACATTCGGAGCGGGGTATTTTGACCTTTACAGCGGACAGACAAAAAATTTCCAAATTACATTTCTGATATGATTTTCATTATGTTTACGGAGATGCATCAAAAAAGGCATTTTTTATGGTCGAAATGCATCAAAAACGTAATTTTTGCATCACTTGACGTAGACACTTAGGGTCCTCCGCTACGCTTCGGCCAATAACTAATAGATACTATAATAGGAATATCGATATCAATATTTTGTATCAATATTTTTGAAACTCAGTCTATTAAACAGTGTTCAAAATGAGTTTCAAGGCAAACAAACTAGTTAAGCAAAATAAAAACCCTATTCAACTCTCTCACATAATTTTTGTCAGGAGGTAATTTACAACTCGTTAGTATATTATTAACCCAGCAAATTATTATTACTTATCAATATTTTGTCCCAGAAGTAATGGAAAAAATACGGTAGTTGTAATTTTTAACCACCCCATCAGTAATGCAATATATATTAGGAGAATGATGTTTATAAATAAATACAGCACGTAAATCACATCACGCTAATAATTTATAGATTAATCATTATGATGATAGATATGTTTAAATAAATTACTTAAGCATTATTGTGTATTCGTAATTTAAACAGAAAACATGAATCTTTTTTAATAGATTCGTTTTGTGAAAAATTAGATAAACTTGGTACAATAAGATCAATATTTTAAAAGAAAACACGAACATGGCAAATGTCTTAAAGGAATTTAATCATGAAAAGTCTCCACTTATCGTTACATCTAACAATGTTCTTACACACACTATTAAAAATTATGATGTTATTAAAGATATTGTGATCATTGAGAAGAAAATTAAAACCTACCAAAATCACATAACATATACTCAACAAGATAATAGTTATATGCTCGAACATTTGTTTTTGTTTGCAATTCCTGCATGTTTATATTGGATACTCATTATACAATTTTTGGATTTAAAAGGATATATCTAATTTTAAATATCAATTACCCTTATGACCTTAATTACTTTTATGATCTTTATGAGCATTACGACCTTAGTGACTATTCTTATACCAGCGTTCCCTTCCTTATCACCCGAAAGGACTTTTCCTAAGTTTCAGTCCTTTCCGACAATTCGGGCCGGGTAACCCTAATCAGGTTATAATCGGCGTACCCGAAGAACGGAGTGCAATTAATTTACGAGGGAGGAACCTGACCTGGTCACGTTACGGGTTTCACAATGTAGTATATAAAAATATATATATATTTTTTAAATTAACCTTAAAAAAAAAAAAAAAAGTACGTATCATCATACCGATACGTGGTATAAATGTAATATTAATATATAAATATATATATTAAAAAAAAGTATTAATATCAGATATCTATAAATTGAAGTGGCGCAGAAATAAAAACACTTTACTCAAAATAGGGTTTTATCTATACGTAATGATTCCATATATAGGTAATGAACATATCGATATTGAACAAATCTACATAAATTTTTTAAAATAAACAATATAAAAAAAAATAACAAAAAAAACTATATAAGTGCACGTAAAAAATAAAAAAAATGAAATTAAAAAGAGGAATTAAATAAATTGATTAAAACTTAGCTATTAATACACATATAATCAATGTCCTTTAAAGAACCACGCACACATGTTACTATAGCATGTACTAACTGTCGAAAGAGAAAAGAAAGATGTTCTGGAACAGTTAAATGTACAAATTGTATCAAACGCAATCTCCCTTGTATTCTTATTAGCTCGGGTAAAAAACGCGGTCCAAAACCAAAATTTAAGGTGGTCGATACAATTTTATCTATTCAGGATCAAGAATATGTCTCGAGTCCATATATAGGCGATAATCAGCAATCATATTATGGAATAATTAACTTTATGCAAGGTCACGCGTTAACCTACTCTCCAGCACAAATTATTCAACCTAATAATATTTCTCAAGAAATTAACCAAGATTTTCAAGTTAGCCATAAGACTGCAGTAAATGAACAAAAAGCCACGCTTATGAATTTAGCCGATAACACTTCATCCTTGTTTTTTAATAATTCTTCAGTATTTAAAGCCGATCGTGAAACCGAAACATTGTTTTCCACAGATTCTTTAGATAGTTGCATTGTTATGTCACCTATTTCATCCCTCTTATCGTATGTTCCTTTTGATTTTGTTCTTTCTAATTTTGATGAACATAATTATTACATTTAAATAATTAAACTTTGGTAATTTAAGCGACTTCCTTTCTTTCGTCATAGAACCCTTATTATTGTTTTTTTTTTTTTTTATTACCGTTACTATTTTATATTAATTATTTATTAATATAGTAATATATATAAATGTATTGCATAGTATACATATAATTATCTAGCTAAATTTTATAAATAAAAGAAATTATTCAAAAAACTTAAGTAGAATATTATTCAAAAACAACCAATAGGTACTCTTAGAAGGTGATTAAGGGAATTATATATTAAGTAGCTGCGCGAAACCAGAAACAGAAAGCATAATGAGAGCATAACAGATCTGCTAATTTTATTTTGAACCTTTTTTTTTTAAACAAGTGAACTGTGTATAAAGGCAATGATATGGAGATGTTTCACTTTCTAGAGGGCCACATCCAATTAGTAATGCTCCAGATATTTTTAAAAAAAAACTTTAATGCCATAAAAATTTAATACTACATATAAAATTTATTCCGTTCCCTTCTAGACCAATAAGGCAACCTTATTTCCATAGTGCGACGCAAAATACTCCTGAGGAGTATCCGTCCAAAGATGGTTACGAAAATACTAGACAGTTCAACATAATAAGGACTTGATCTTCTTATGGAAAGAAATTGGCTATTATGAAATCTGTGATGACATAAACGATCTAGTAATCCAGGGTTCGCTTCTTATATTCTTCCCTCCTAATCCTTCTATTAATTGGATTCGACCAGATATTGAAGCTATTATTAAACGACTCAATGAATTAATTGATCTCGGTTTTAAGCTGAGTTATGATGTTATTGCCAACACCCTCTATTTATTTGAAGATAGATTAGAACATATTGGCGAAATTTTAGTGGATTCGTATTTACGTATTAAACAAGACACTCGAGAAAACTTTTTAAATCATTGTTTAATAGAATCATTAAGACCAAAGCACCGTTCAAATAAATCTCATGTTTGGAATTTTCTTCATTCAATTGTGAAAAATAATCCTGAAGCTGCATTCAATAAAGCATTTGATTATTATTTAAAAAAAAATGAAAGTTTAACTATCGAATCTAAAATTAAACGGCTATCATTACCAGCAAAATTTCATAATTGGGTTCTTATAAAATTTGATTTAAATGCACAAATTACAAAAGTTTGTTTTGAAGATATATTAAGATCACGTGTTAGCCTAGTTAAACAACTTCAGCAAAATATTAATGCAGACATTCCAGATGGAATACATCAAGATGAATTTCAGAAGGTTTGTAATATTTTTAAAATTTTTTTGTAATGTAAAAAATTTTTATCTACCATCACATCTAGATGAAATTTCTCAATGTACCAGTTAGGATATTTTAATTCCATTATTTAGATATTACTTACCTAATTTATTTAATGTAAAGGTAACATTTGAACTACCAATGAGAGTAAATGGAAAATATTGATGGCACATTTCCAAAACCTATAACTGGTGAAAGAAAACAACACATATTAGAGAAATGGAATCAAGCTCCTTACAACACGTCAATACAAAATACTGGCCGATCAACGAACTTTTCGTATTTTACTGAAAATAAATAATCTTAAAAATTATTATTTGCTAAACAAATTTATTATTTGTCATACGAAAATTATGAAAATTATTATGAAAATTATTTGTTATACGTATGAAAATTATGAAAATTATATATTATAAGACAAAATATAAAATTCTCATACAAAGCTTTTATCAGATTATTTTTTTCGATACGTATCCAGGACTTTTTGATAAGATTACATTTAATATTTTATGTAGTTTTAAGATTTCAAACAAGGATAAAGGATACAATGAGAAAGTTATTTTATGGTGCGCAGTTATGTTAATGAATAGAAAGGTTACGTTTATATGATTTATATTGAAGCAGGAGGTGACAGTTTACGTAATAATAAATTAATAGTGATAAGGTAACATATTAGTGGCAGAAAAGCTTGCGATATGAACCTTTCAATGCAGTCTAAAAGTTTTATATAAAATTTATGAATTTCATGAACTGAATATTAAATATTTAATATTTTATAATAAATACCGTTATTAATAAATTAAAAATAACAGCTTAAGTTAATAATTTGATATGTTAAGTATATACATGTAAAGGCGAAAGTTTATATATTCATATTAATTGATGAAGGTAAAATTAAATTAGTTCAAGTTTGTATAATATATCGATGTGTAAAAATGCAAAATTTAAGCAATAAACTTATCTTCTTAACTTTTTATATTTCTAGACTTCTCTTCACATAAAATCCAAAGTTTATGTGATCTTGTTCTAAAAAATTTACGAGCACAAAAAGTTATTTATTATCTTGTTTAATCTTTCAATCATTTGATCCTATGTGGGTCGGAAACACTAGTGATCATCCGATCTCGAAATTTTCTTTACTACTATATTGCCTGTAGTAGTAAAAGTGTAATAATTATCATATTTATGTGAATGAATACCCATAAATATTATTTAGAGACATGTAATTTAAAGATAGTTGATAATTAATTTATCTGATTGTGACTTATAATCTTTTGTTATTAAAAGTCTTCAGATAATTAATTATTAGTTCTCTTTAAATTGTATGTTTCTAAATAATGTCTCTGAGTATTACTTTGCATAAATACAATAATTCTAAATTTATTGATTTGAAATATATCTTGTTATTAAAATTATTTAAATATTAACTTACATAAGATCTCGTGATCTAATTTTTATTAGTTAGGCCACACCAATTTAATTTTCTGTTTAACATAAAATAATAGTCTATAGAATAGTGGGGGGAAGGGCTAAAAAAAACACGTATATATATAAATTCTGCAATCTTATTGGCTATTAATCTAATATATAACAAATTTTAATTATAAGTTACCCTAACTTTAATGTTAAATAAAAATTTTTACTTTGGGTTTGTTAACTATTCTGTATATTGTAAAATTTTAATTATATTAAATATTTCATCATCATTTCACAATATTTACATATAACAATGAGCTATAAAGAATATATAACGATAAGGCTATGTAAAATTAATAACCTGATCAGATCAATTAACCAAGAAATTAAATTCGTATGGCTTAATGCCTTGTGCGAACTTAATTTTATTTGCATTAATTTAGTAAATTTAGAGTATTTAAAATAAGTCATTTACATAATTAAGGATTGGTATCAAGTAAAATTTTTATAACCATTTAACCATTTAATTCTACTAGTATAACTTAAACGGTTTTAATTTATGTTACATTCTCAAATATTAAAAAAGTTTAAATAACGATAATTGCTACGTGTAGTGATGCAATCCGTCTGTTGATCAACAATCTGGATAACTATTCAAAATCCGTATTTTTGTGTAATCTGTATTATCCGAATAATTTTTTGCATAAACTATGCAATTCTCATGCATACTATAGTTAACTGATCTTTGTCAAAACTATAGTTAACTGATCTTTGTCAAAACTATAGTTAACTGTAGTTAACTGTAGTTATTCGTTAAAACTATAATTAACTGTAGTTAATTATTCAAACTATAGTTAACTGTAATTAACTACGCAAACTATAAAGATTGTCGATTAACTATTATTTTTTATTTTCTTATTTGATTTACTTGTTTTGTTAAATAACGAATTAAGAAAATAAAATCAATTTGCACTAGTATTACATTTTTAATTTTATTGAAAAAAAATGTCTACTCATGATAAGGATAATACTTCAGCATTGATTAAAATATTCGATAACATAGAACAAACATGAACATCTAATAAAAGAATAAAAGCCAATGACAATGTCGTTTTAAAATATGTTTACTTTTTTGATTAAAATGTATGAACTAGAGATGTAATCTATGGTTAACTACAATTAAACATGCAAACTATGCGGAAAGAATCAATCTGCATGTGATCTGTATTATACGGATTTGAATAGTTTACATCACTAGTATGAACTATATAAACTATACAACTGTTCAAACTATAGTTAACTATACGGATTGCAGATTTAAATAGTTCACATCACTAGCTACGTACTATAAATCAAAAACCCTTAAATTTCAATGCTGTAATTTAATGCAATATGTAATAAAATTATATCATAAAACAGGAGCTCCACCTACTCTTATGAATAAATAAAAAAAAACGATAAAATCGTCAAAATTGTATCCATTTTTTTTTTTTTTCATCAAAAATGTCAAACGAAAATTTGACCCAATTCTTTAATAAATTGAATTTCAAAAATCAGCAGATACGAACGATCCTAACGGAATTTTCCAGTTTGGATATTGTTATGAACATGGAATTGGAGTTGAAAATGATGAAAACAAAGCATTCTTGCATTATCAAAAATTAGCAGTTATGGATAATTCTAACGGGATGTATCAAGTTGGTTATTGTTATTATTTTGGAATTGGAGTTGAAGTTGATAAGCATCAAGCATTTTCATATTATCTGAAGTCTGCTGAGGAAAGGAATTCTGGAAAACGGCTATGTGTTACTTTTATGGAATTGGCGTGAAAAAAAATAGAATATTATATGAATGGATTGTGAAGTAAGTTAATTTTAATTTTTATTTTTTTGCTTTAATTTATTTAAAGTAGATCTCTCAATTTTAATTTATAGAGAGTAAGCAAAAAAAAAAAAAAATATTTATAACGAATTATTAATCTAATTATCAAGAATTATAAATAAATATTTATTGTTGGTTATTTTAGCCCGTAAGTATAAAGAACATTTAATAATTTTACTACTATACCATTACGTACAAATTATTTTATTTGCATTAATTTATTTAGTTAGTGAGTATAAAGAATATTTAATAATTTTACTACATAAAAACAGCAAAACTCGATCACAAAACAAGATTATAAATACTTATACAATTACGTACGTACAAATCATTTCATTCGCATTAATTTAGTCAGTGAGTAAAAAAGTTAAAAGTAGAGAAGTTTGCAGGTATAAAGAACATTTAATAATAAAAACAGCAAAACTCGATCACAAAACAAGATCATAAATACTTATACTATTACGTACAAATCATTTCATTCGCATTAATTTATTTAGTTTGTGAGTATAAAGAACATTTAATAATTTTACTATATAAAAACAGCAAAAACTCGATCACAAAAACAAGATCTTTAGTTCTTATACCATTACGTACATTCACATTAATCACCTCACTAGTATAAAGAACATTTAATAATTTTACTACATAGAAACAGCAAAACTCTTTCACAAAACAAGAATATTAATTCTCATACCATTACATACAAATCATTTTATTTGCATTAATTTATTTAGTTAGTAAGTATAAAGAACATTTAATAATTTTACTATATAAAAACAGCAAAACTCGATCACAAAACAAGGTCATAAATACTTATACAATTACATACAAATCATTTCATTCGCATTAATTTAGTCAGTGAGTAAAAAAGTTAAAAAGTAGAGAAGTTAGTAGGTATAAAGAACATTTAATAATTTTACTACATAAAAATAGCAAAACTTGATCACAAAACAAGAACTTTAATTCTCATACCATTACGTACAAATAATTTCATTCGCATTAATTTATTTAGTTTGTGAGTATAAAGAATATTTAATAATTTTACTACGTAAAAACAGCAAAACTCGATCACAAAACAAGATCATAAATACCAATTATATCATTATGTACAAATTATTTCATTCGCATTAATTTATTTAGTGGGTGAGTATAAAGAACATTTAATAATTTTACTACATAAAAACAGCAAAAACTCAATCACAAAAAAAAAAATCATTAATTCTTATACCATTGCATACAAATCATTTCATTCACATTAATCACCTCACTTAGCATGTGAGTATAAAGAACAGTTAATAATTTTACTACACAAAAACAGCAAAAACTCGATTATAAAACAAGATCATTAATTCTTATACTATTACGTGCAAATAATTTCATTCGCATTAATTTATTTAGTTTGTGAGTATAAAGAATATTTAATAATTTTACTACATAAAAACAGCAAAACTCGATCACAAAACAAGATCAGAAATACCTATAATATCATTACGTACAAATCATTTCATTCGCATTAATTTAGTCTGAGTATAAAGAGCATTTAATAATTTTATTACATAAAAACAGCAAAACTCGATTACAAAACAAGGTTATAAATACTTATACCATTACGTATAAATTATTTCATTCCAATAATCATTTCATTCAGTGAGTGAGTATAAAGAACATTTAATAATTTTACTACATAAAAATAGCAAAACTCGTTCACAAAACAAAATCATAAATACTTTTATACCATTACGTACAAATCATTTCATTCACATTAATTTATTTAAGTCAGTGAGTATAAAATTATTTACATTCAGCATAAAGTTTAAAACCGCAGATGCGAAATAAACTTTATATATACTATATAGAGAATCTATATATAGAAAATGTAATAAAGATAACACTTATAAAACATGGAGTCTATTATGCGATCCTAACATAACAACAAGGTGGACAAGTAGAAATAAAGATATTGATGATTGCATGAAAGAATTCCAACTTAGAACCTGGAGTTAT